CTGGAAAAGAGACTCGTCAAGATTCAGGGTAGAATAGGTCTTCAGCAACATATGCTTGCCGTAAAAGGCGACTATGCTTGTAGTAAGAGGCGACTAACGGGACTCGGTCTGTCAGGCTCGCTGACTTGGTTGATGCATGTCATCGTATCCCAATTGCGTGGATCGATGCTCATGATGTCAATCACTGGATTGTCTGGTATAGACTTGATTATTTACAGACCGCTGTCATATATAGTTGGAATATTGCTGAGTGCGGCGTTAAACAACAAACAAACAAAACCTCGAAAAGACTTAAGCAAAGCCTGCTAATATTTGACAATGCACCTGGAAGGGGTCAAAGTACATTCTCCGGGGGCTAAGCGTTTGTATCAAGTGCATGAGTGAGTGAGTTGGGTTTAACATGTCCCTTTGAACATTATTTTATTTATATCACGGCGTGTCAGCTTCATGTGGGAGGGAGGCCCAAACTGATGCCACTTTGGTGAAACCCACACAACGGGTATGGTTCTGATTAACAGTAAAATGTGTGAGTGAGTGAGTATTGTTTTACGCCGCGTTTAGCAATATTCCTTCAATTTCACGGCGGTGGACATCAGAAATGGGCGTTGTACCCATGTCGGGAATCGAACGCGGGTCTTCGGCTTGACGAGCGAACGCTTTAACCACTAGGCTACCCGACCGCTCCTATCATGTAACATAACTAGGGCGAGCCGGGATTCAAACCTACGCGCTGAAGGGACGAAGCAGAAACTTAATATTCGTAATTTTAGGCTATGACATCACAAAATATACCCTGTGTTACATATGAAGCTGCATGTACGGGTGCTGGTCCAAAAGATCTAAGCCTAACAAACAAAACCAGCAATTGCGAAAGTGTGTTAAATTATATTTTTCAACATAAGCTCCTTGCTTTTCAATACACTTCTCATATCGATTGTGAAGCTTTTCAATTCCAATGAGGTAGAAGTTTTCTGAAGCTACCCTGAAAAACCCATTCACGGCAGATCCATTTGGACCCCTAACACGTTCAACTGGCTGTCACTAATATACAAACGGCCCCAACAGACCAAATACCCTTGCAGTGAACTACTCAAACAATTTATGTACTACTAGTTCACTTTGTTATGGCCCATAGTTGGAAGTAGGCCAGGCTTAGAACTTTTTGACCAGCCCTCGTTCATTCATGACCCATCATCACATTAGATGTGAAGTCACGTGTAACCTGGTTGCGTCCTTTTCGACCAATATAGGTCCCTTTATCAGTCAAGGATGTTTTTATGCTGTTTATTTTGTAAACATGCTTTGAGTTGAAAACATAAAACGTCAGATAATCTATATGTTTCTAGTGAATAAAACAATATATATTTCCTGAGAGGAGTCGGACTGGCGATCAGGCAAGGCCTATTTGTACAATGGCAATTAACCATTGATAAAAGTAACTTTACATAAAATAATATTAAGTTTGAATTAACTGTACCTGTTTCAAATATCACGATGCAAATATACAAATCTGAACTTTTACAGTCAGTTAACTCCCTTGCCTCGGGAAGATGCATTCTGGGGAGTGTACTGGGCATGTCTCAGCGCGCTGTGTTCCAAGGGCTCCTGATCAGAAACGACCCAGGTTCATCCTCATCTCTCTCAAAGAAGCTACGTTGTTTTGTAGCGGACCCGGCTGATTGTGTTGAGCCTTTTGTCGCCCTGGAGGAGTCTTGTGTTCCCCACCTTCAACCAGAGACTGCACACCAGGCCGGGCAGTGGAAACATCGAACGTTTCCTTCGAAGAAGGCAAAGTCTGGCAAGGTAATGGCTTCGGTTTTCTGGGATTCCAAAGGAGCCCTACTGGTGGACTACCTCCCGAAGGGTCAGACCATTAATGACCAGTGTTTTAGTAATCTGTAAAGGCAACTGCGTACAGCAAGCTTCTTCCCACCGCGTGACACCTTGGTAACTCAGTGATACAGGGTATTATATTTGCATTCAAGTTTGAATGGAAGATATGGAGTGGGGAAAGGTTCCTATACTTCCTATTCCTATACTACGAGCCTTTACCCATATGGAGATATGACACACTGTATACACGAGGGTGGATCGTTCGAGCCTTTCCCTCCCATATGGAGATATGACACACTGTATACACGAGGGTGGATCGTTCGAGCCTTCCCCTCCCATATGGGGATATGACACACTGGATAAATGAGGGTGGAACTTTCGAGCCTTTCGTATAACGAGTCTATGCATAGTCCAATCAAAATCGCGCACTGAAATTGAAATCCGGTTCGTAAACTGTCGTGCAGATTTCGGTCGATTGCAGGATTTGCAAAGCATGTGCACCGCCAACTCGTTTTCAGTAGATATTTTCCAAATCTTCTCATGTTTTTAATCAAGGTGTTCACGTGATTTGATGCATTTCGCGATGTGAGACCCGTTTTATCACAATGTAGATCTTGATTATCAGATCGTCCGTGTCCGGGCGCCACCATTTTTGTGGGATCTGATTGGTCCATAGGAGAGGCTTAGACGGGACATAACTGGTAATAGCCATTTGGCGGGACCTATCTTCCTACCCGAAATCCGTAATGCAAGCACAGAATGGTGCTTAAAGTGAGATGTTATTGCACGGTGCCAGGCGCCGCGCCTTATTTGTTTTGGGTTTGAGAATACTACATAGGGCCATGGGCCATGGGGATGAGTAATCGTTGGAAAGATATAGGCCTATAGCATATGGCTATACGGAAAACGGTGGCCCATTTCCGTGAAGTGAATTCTGCTTTTCAAGAGGGGCTATGTGGGATACGTTGACCCATTTCCGTGAAACGGGTCTATCTGTCGAGAGGGTCGGAGACAAGCCTACAGCATATCGCTATGTGGGATACGTTGACCCATTTCCGTGAAACGGGTCTATCTGTCGAGAGGGTCGGAGACAAGCCTACAGCATATCGCTATGTGGGATACGTTGACCCATTTCCGTGAAACGGGTCTATCTGTCGAGAGGGTCGGAGACAAGCCTACAGCATATCGCTATGTGGGATACGTTGACCCATTTCCGTGAAACGGGTCTATCTGTCGAGAGGGTCGGAGGCAAGCCTACAGCATATCGCTATGTGGGATACGTTGACCCATTTCCGTGAAACGGGTCTATCTGTCGAGAGGGTCGGAGGCAAGCCTACAGCATATCGCTATGTGGGATACGTTGACCCATTTCCGTGAAACGGGTCTATCTGTCGAGAGGGTCGGAGACAAGCCTACAGCATATCGCTATGTGGGATACGTTGACCCATTTCCGTGAAACGGGTCTATCTGTCGAGAGGGTCGGAGACATGCCTACAGCATATCGCTATGTGGGATACGTTGACCCATTTCCGTGAAACGGGTCTATCTGTCGAGAGGGTCGGAGACAAGCCTACAGCATATCGCTATGTGGGATACGTTGACCCATTTCCGTGAAACGGGTCTATCTGTCGAGAGGGTCGGAGACAGGCCTACAGCATATCGTTGATCCATTTCCGTGTCGCGAGGTCTTCCCGTCGAGAGAGTCGGGAAAAGGCCTATAACATATCGCTATGAGTGAAACGTTGACCCAATTTCAGTGTCGCGAGATATTAGCACTTTTGGACAGTGTGAATAATTTAATAGTTAAAAATAACAAACATAATCACAACGTTGTGGGTTTGAATTTTAACAATATCTGCATGTGTCCATGTGCAGATCAACTTCATTATAAAAAAATATTACAATATTGTAGTTATTACCTTGAAAAGATTAATTTAAAAAAAATATTAATTACTTGACCTCTGTAGATATATCAATGTCAGCAGTAGCGTTAACCACTATGATTGTGTCAACCTATTACCCCATGTTCCTTGAAAACAAAAAACAACAACGGGGCGGTGGGGTCGCCTTTAGTGGCTAAAGCGTTTGCTCGTCACGCCGTCCCGGGTTCGATTTCCCACATGGGTACAATGTGTGAAGCCCAGTTTTGGTCTGCCGTGATATTGCTGGAATATTGCTAAAGGCGGCGTAAAACCATACTCACTCACTGAAAACAAAAACAAATGTTTCAGAAAGTCATTGTTGTGGAAACATAGTTTTGTTTTCATGTTTGTTTTCTACTTCTATATAACATAAATATTTAAACTGAAATGTGCCATATATTCTCATTCCTGATTCGGAAGGTACCATGCACGTGCAAATTACAATTTGTTTCATCTACCAGGTGACACATGTGTGCTTTATGACAGTGTAGGTTCTCGCGTCAGTAGGTAGGTATGCTACAAAATTCTTTGCGCCGTGTTGATCCTCTATACCAAAGTTATCTTATACAGTAATATACACCATCATGAGCCACGTGTATAAAGATATTTGCTCGGATTACCACACATCCTGTTTGAGATAGCCATATCACACCACGTTCTGTTTAACAGCCAGGACACCTGTTACACCTGCCGGTGTTACCGCAACATCTTGTGTTACATACATTTCTTAAACCCCACAAAGCTGTCAGACAGGTATATTAATGTTTCCATACAACATTCGTGTTTGTCGTGAAAACAACTTAAGCTTTGTTCAATGTATGTTGCTACCACTACAGGCGACAGGATTACAGAATACGTAATCAACAAATAAATTAAATATATGTATATGAATATTAGGCTTTTATTTTCTTTCAACCCCACATACATGTCAGACACGTTTATTAATGTCGCCATAAAACTGTCGTGTTTATCGTGAAAACAACTTAAACATTGTTAAATGCATGTACAGTAAACTACGGTTATAACGAACTTAAAGGGCCACTTAATTTAGTTCGTAATAACCGTAGTTCGTTATAAGCATATAAACATCAAATGGCATGGACTAAGAAATAAGTTCGTTAAAAGCGTGTTCGTTATAAACGTAGTTTACTGTATTTGCTACCGCTACAGTCGACAGGGCGATATCAATATATACATAGATATATATATATATATATATATAACTATATATAAACAATAACGAACCGTGCTATGCGTGTGGGCCTTCACTGGTGTCCTCCGTGATCGGCAGTGGGTGGTATGGGTACAGGGTTGCCAACTTCCACCATTTAAACGGAGACAATATTAGGATCAGCTGCGTGGTCTGTCCCTAACGGCGAAACGGCACAACACCCAGCTAAATTAATGTATGTAATGTTCACGATTACCAAGTCAGAAAGTAGAATTAATGTGGTTGTGGCAACGAATTCATTACCCTATTATAAAAAACTACCATGATCCGGATCTTCCCCCGAGCATAGTCCGTCCTTTGCCACCATGCCTTACCTGCGTGACAGGAGTTACCACAGTCCGGGTTACCTGTTGTTTGTTTGTTTGTTGTTTAACGCCGCACTCAGCACTATTCCAGCTATATGACAGCGGTCTGTAAATAATCGGGTTTGGACCAGACAATCAAGTGATTGACATCATGTACATCCATCTACGCAATTAGGATAAGATGACATGAATCAACCAAGTCAACAAGCCTCTCACAACAAGCAGAGTCATTTTTTACGGCAGGCATGGTTGCTGAAGACCTATTCTACTGCGGATCTTCACGGGTCCCAGCTATATGATGGCATAAGGAAGATATATATGATGACAGTCTGTAAATAATTGAGTCTGGACCAGACAATCCTCGAGCTTGCATCTCCGAAAGTGGGATACGATGACATGCATCAACCAAGTTAGCCAGCCTGACCACCCGTAAGTCACCTCTCACGGATAACACGGGTTGCTGGTCTAGGTCTGCATACCCCTAAGGAAATAGTTGTTAGTAGTTGTGTTGTTATACATCCAACTACAGTTGCAATACAAGGTTCCTCAAGCGCAGGAAGGCATTTACAAGCTTCACTTGTCTTGGAGTTCAGGGGGCGGTGGGGCAGCTTCGTGGTTAAAGCGTTGGCTCGTCACGCTTAAGATCCGGGTTCGGTTCCCCACATGGGCACAATGTCCCCCGCCGTGATATTGCTGGGATATTGCTAAAAGCGGCGTAAAACCATACTTACTCACTTGAAGTTCAGAAGTTCACTCAGTAGATTCCAGCTTAGAATAGAGGTGTGTTAAAAGTATGTGTGTGTGCGTGTGTGTGTGTGGGTGTGTGAAAATAAATAGGCAATACCCCAAAACCTGTGCTATTGGGATATTCTTTTACTTTTATTTACTTTCGTACATTTTTAACGACACACTCTTTGAAGGTAGTCTTAAAGGGAAAGTAAAGTGAAAATATTCAAAATCAATGGGGCTTGGAAGTGAACACCCAAGAAACACATTGTTGTGTTTAGAAAAGGTGGGCGAGAAGTGGGCCTATGATGAAAGAAGGATTGGAGCTGTTGATAGTTTTTCATATCTGGGAATCATGTTTACTATAGCTGAAAAGTATTTTAATTATAATACGTTTACTATTAATTAAGGCCGCGAGGCAACATTTGCTTAATATAATACTACCAAGTCTCTTTGTCTCAATACTGAGACACTACCGCGTCATTGTTCCATAGTTCTTCCGGTAGTGTTTTATGTCACGCGCTAGTTGACTGGGCTACCGCAAGAGGGGTAATGAAGAACGATTACATCTTGATTTCTGTAAGCGATTATTCGGTGTTAAAAAATATGCATGTAATGCAATGGTGTATGCTGAGCTAGGTCGCTGCCAATGGCAATGCAAAAGAATGCACAATCTTATTAAATATTGGAGCAAGTAGTTTTTTACTGATAACTGCATCCTACGTGGCGGATATGAATGACTACACGGAATACCGTAACCTACGGAGTTGGTCATATCATGACAGGCATCAACCAAGTCAGCGAGTCTGGCCACCTGATCCCGTTTATCACCTCTCACGCCAAGCATGGGTTTGCTGGTCAAGGTTTGCTGGTGAAATAGTTATTACCGGTAGTAGTTGTATTGTTATACATCCAACATTTGCAAGATAAGGTTCCTTATGCTCAGGAAGGCATTTAAGTTACCATTTCAGGTGACACACACACACACACACACACACATATATATATATATCTCAACTACCGGTTATGGAAGATGGGTGAAATGTGGTATAAGCATGAATTGGATATTAGTAATTTTGCCCTCAATGAAAACAGATAAATATACAATGTGTCTTTCAGCTAATTCGAAGTCAACTGACAAGTCCCTTCAAATGTACAATTTATACATTAAATGTTGTTGATATTAATACTTTACAATATTATTTGGTGCGTTTATCCCTTCTGTATACCAAACTATTTTCTTCACATGATGTCATCATATCCTGCCTACAGATAGGAAAACTTACAGATGCTAATTGCAGCTCACTTGTCATAACTGGTGACTTTACTGGCTAAAGGGGAATATATCTTCCCGAACACAGTTTATCCTTTGTGTTTAATTTTGCAAAATGGCTGTCCATCCGTATTTAGAATCTACCAAAGTTAGACCATTTGTGGATAAGACAAGCAAGGACGCACGTGAATGTGAGTATGGGTTCGACAACCTCTGCGCACACATGCACTCACTCACTCACTCATCCGGAGGACTCAACCCTTACCACCACGGACAAAGGACAAAAACCTACAACTGCCCTTTGTTGACACACAATAAAAATGGACCATTCCTTGTCACAGTCAAAAACAAACATGCACCCCACCCCCCTTGGTTCTTAAGGCCTTCTGACACCACTGCTCATGGAGGGCATGAATCATTGCTGCAAGACCCGTGAAGATCCGGGATAGAATAGGTCTTCAGCAACCCATGTTGCCATATAAGGGTATGCTGGTCGTAAGAAGCGACTAACTCGGGTGGTCAGACTGCTGACTTGGTTGATGCATGTCGTTGATCCAAATTGCATGGATTGATGCTCATGATATCAATCACTAGAATTTCTGGTCCAGACTTATTAACAGACCGCCGTCATATAGCTGGAATATTACTTAGTGCAGCCTTAAACAACAAACCAACAAAAAACAACAACAACATTGATGCAAATAGATCCCCAAACTTCAGCACAGGGTATGAGTTTGTGAGTAATCCCACCAAGGCAAATGTGACGTTCTTTCTGAGTATAGCGCCTAGAGCCACCATAATGCCATCCAGTACACACCTGTTGTCTGGTGTCATCTGCAATGTTCTGAAGCTCACCCATCACTTTTAACAGTATTCCAGATAAATCACGCTGTGTCAGCTTAATGTGGGAGGAAAGCCCAAAGTGATGCAGGTCTCAGAATTTTACAACTTTGATGAAACCAACGAGCAGGGGTATGGTGCTGACAAACCTAGAAACATAATCGGGGCGAACCGGGATTCGAACTCACAATCATAGGTTTCTGGCATGCCCAAGGGATGTAACTCTGCACAGCCAATCGCGGCGCCTTAAAGGACTGGGCCAACCGTGCCCTCAGCACATTCCTAGAATAGTACTCAAACAATGTGACACACAAGCACACAGTTTATTATCAAAATACTTTGAGTCAATGAAAGACATATGCATAAGACATATATACATTGCATAGATGTAGTTTCACACAGCCAGACACATACAGGTTGTAGAGACATGAACAATTAATGCCACGTTACATCTTCCCGAGGCAAGAGACTTAACTGACAGTCAAAGCCCAGTGTCCACACTTGCCGAACTAGGCTGGAGTTTTGATTGGACTATGCATAGACTCATTAGTCCAGCCAAAATATAACTCCTTAATACCAGCCTAGTTTGGCAAGGGTTGAAACTTGACTCTTATATTTTATAGTCAGTTAACTTCCTTACCCACATTGATACCATCATCAGTGTTATCACATCAAACATGATTCTCAGGAATACAGTTTTCCTTGACCTTTGGATTGACTTAATACTATTCCCAGGAAACTTTATAAACATTGGGATCAAATCATTCCAAATGTGAGCCTGGGTGACGTGAGATCTATGATGAACCCATTTCTGTCACTTCCTATTGGTAATTAATAGAATCACACCTGCTGTGTGTCACACAGACCACAAGACATGTCTGTCACACAGACCACAAGACATGTCTGTCACAGGCTTTTTCTCCAGGATTAAAACCATACAAAAAGTTGACCCAATCAAAAACTAAACACTTCTTTACATCTTCTATCAATCTGTCAAAATCAACTGAAAAATGTGACATTAAAGAAAATTATCTTTTAACATTTCTTTATTATATACATTGACATTGTTTTTGTTTCAAATCCTTTTCCATTATCAACCCATATAAAAAATCTTTGATCTTCTGAAAACTACTGAGTGGAAGTTTTGTGAGAGGTGATGGAAGACACAGCATCTCAGGTCCCCCCACACAGCAGAAGAAGCAGATCACCCTCCTGGCATGAGGTCAACATAACCAACAAGAACCACTAAGAACATCAGGATAAAACCAGTATGGAATGGGATTACTTGTGCTATAGAGCTGTAAAGGAATGAAAATATATGATGCGAAACAATATCAAGGCTTAGCCAAAAACCAACCCAAAACCCACTTCACAAGCAAAACATCTAAGAAAAATCACACCAACACAGGATAATATATACTTAGAGACTCTACTCTCCCTACCTCACACCAACAGAGGGTAAGATATACTCAGAGACTCTAAATACATTCTCCCCCTTATGTGTATCACTTCTAAATGCCACTCAGAGACTTGATCAAGTTGAACATTTCCACAAACTGCTTCTTACTACAACTGTGTCCCAGAGGTACATAGCAAGGTTTTGTAAAATATAATTACTTTCAAACATTTAATTAACAATTATTCAGGTTAACACTGATAGGGAAAATACATCTCACTTACATTCCCATGGCATCGCAGACAAATAAAGGTATTTCAAAAGTGAAATTCATTCTCAATAAAGTTCATATCACAAGTTTGTAAGATTCTACCTCCCCTTGGAACATGAGAGCATCTACACCTAAAACCAGATCCCATATATAGATTCAGATACCACACCTACCCAAAAACACATCCTTAGTAATCCAGGGTATAATAACTCATTCCATCATAAAAAGTACCCTGGACCGTTAGCTATCAAAACTTGGTTTGAAGTCGCATCCCCATCGCTCATTAGTGTTATTTGATTGGATTGCTAAATTTAGCAACATGTCGTTTGAATCGGGTTCAAAATTAAGCTGTCACAATAAGGCAGAGATACTGCCGAATCAACGGTAAGTTTTAACTCACTCACTCAGAAAGAAGCTGGTGGCAAATCCAGGCTATTTATCCTAACAGAATGAAGATATATCGCCCTGAACCGTCGAGGATACACTGACATACAAGGAGGGCAGAAGATAGGACACAAAGCAGGAGAAAGTCAACACTTGGGGCAAATCAGTCAACACAGACGAGGCCCAAATATTGCTATCAGGTGAATAACATGTAAACAGTGGAATGTGAGAGGTGCTATGGTAAGGTTACCTGAAGGCACAGATCATCAACAGAGGGTACCTGTGTTATAATTGGGCTGCATGAACAAACTGTCACTTGGGCTCATTTATCTCCAGAGTCAGGAGAAGGTAGGATGCTTTTTTTTCATTGAAGAGTAAAGTAATGAGGGAGGAACACTTAATTTTTCCCTCACAAACAAGGGCAATAAAAATGACAGATGCGCAGGATGAAACGTGACTGCAGTCCTCAGTAATGGTCAGACTAAGACTTTAAAGATGACATTGTGTGAAGCATGTAGTTGCCATCACGTCAGCAATCTAATTTCAAGCTTCACTACAAAACAGCTTCACTAATTAAAATACAAGTGATTCAGGGCTGTCAGGTTTCACCACACAGGCTGGAGCAGTGACTATGAGCCCCGAACAGGACCTGTCCTAACTGATTTGTTCCTACTGTCTTGTGGAGGACAGGTACCATCGTCATTGCCGACTGTGTTTACTTTTCAAATGGAGAGAATATCAGAACATAGCTGTTGATTTCAAGCATCATTTCGTTGTATTTTGCAGTTGTCTAGCCTCCTACTGCAACTACAATGTTTGACAAAACCTTTATATTTTAAGATTATTTTTTTCAAGCCCAATCATAAAAACTTTCACTTTTTCTTTTACTTTAATTTTATGAAAAATATGTAGTGTATGGTCCATCTGGAATAATGAGATGAGTGAGTTTCGATGTCGGACAAGTTAGATCTGGTTGAAATCTGGCTGTTTCTGACCCACGACGTGGAATGACATTGCACGGTCGCGGCGTGTGTCAGGGAGAGTTGCCTTGTCAGGTTGAAGGTCATCCTCGTCAGTGCTGGGAGTGTAGGACAGGTCGGTGGAGATGAGGAGTGCTCCCTGAAAACAGTTGCCATAGTTACACTTCTTCATATTTAGAGAGGATATGGAGAAGAAAAAAGAAGTAAATTCTTGAAAAGACAGAGGTATTTGTTTCTCAAGATTAAAGAAGGTGTCGATACTTTTTCAATCTAGTTACTCCTCTAATGATGCATTTTCTGGTCAACTATCACTGATTTTAGACGACTTCTCTTTGTTAAACTCCATCTTCCCGAGGCAAGGGAGTTAACTGACTATTAAAGTCCAGTTTCCACCCTTGCCGAACTAGGCTGCAATTCCGAAGTTACATTTCAGCTGGAGTCTAGGCATAGTCCAATCAAAATGGAGTTATGAACTAGACATCCGGTTCGTAAATAACATGGATTTCAACATGTAGATTACAGTTGACTGCAGGAATTGCAAACCATGTGTATCGTCAACTGGGCGTCGCTAGATATTTTTCAAATCTTTTCATGTTTTTGGTCAAGGTGCTCAAAATGATTTGATGCACTTTGCATGATAAGAGTGAGTGAGTGAGTGAGTGAGTGAGTGAGTGAGTGAGTGAGTGAGTGAGTGAGTGAGTGAGTGAGTGAGTGAGTGAGTGAGTGAGTGAGTGAGTGAGTGAGTGAGTGGGTGGGTGGGTGGGTGGGTGGGTGGGTGGGTGGGTGGGTGAGTGAGTGCTTTACGTCACATCGGCAATATTTAAGCCATATCGGACAAACTTGAGCCTGGAAATTCCAGCCTAGTTCAGCAAGGACTTTTAACTCCCTTGCCTAGAGAAGATGGTTTAACCCAGCCTGACAGTTTGGCGTGATAAGCACTTATACCACGGAGCTACTCCACCCCTCCATGCCTTGTTGATGGCCGATATCAGCAGTCGAGTATTGAACATTTGGCACCGTCAGATGTAAATGGGATGCTGGTATAACATCAAGGTATGTGGAAGATGCATCCATGTTACTCATTACTAAGTGACCTGATGGTACCAACCTTGAGAAGGGACAGTTGAGCGTTTTGGAAGTGGATGTTGTCCGTCACAGGCAGAACCAGTCCCTTCTGTCCCTGGGCTACAACATACAACAATACATTGTACAACATACAACAATACATTGTACAACAAAGAACACTATATTGCATAACATGCAACAATACATTGTACAACATACAACAATACATTGTACAACAAAGAACAATATATTGTATAACATGCAACAATATATTGTGTAACATAAAACAATACATTGTACAACATACAACAATACATTGTACAACATACAACAATATAGTGTACACCATACAACAATACATTGTACAACATACAACAATACGTTGTACAACAAAGAACAATATATTGTATCACATGCAACAATATATTGTATAACATGCAACAATACATTGTACAACATACAACAATACATTGTATAACATACAATACATTGTACAACATACAACAATACATTGTACAACATACAACAATATAGTGTACAACATACAACAATACATTGTACAACATACAACAATACATTGTACAACAAAGAACAATATATTGTATAACATGAAACAATATATTGTATAACATAAAACAATACATTGTACAACATACAACAATATAGTGTACAACATACAACAATATAGTGTACAACATACAACAATACATTGTACAACAAAGAACAATATATTGTACAACATACAACAATACATTGTACAACATACAGCAATACATTGTACAACAAAGAAGAATATATTGTATAACATGCAACAATATATTGTATAACATAAAACAATACATTGTACAACATACAACAATACATTGTACAACATACAATACATTGTACAACATACAACAATATATTGTATAACATAAAACAATATATTGTATAACATAAAACAATACATTGTACAACATACAACAATGCATTGTACAACATACAACAATGCATTGTAAAACATACAACAATGCATTGTACAACATTCAACAATGCATTGTACGACATGCAACAATATATTGTATAATATGCGACAATACATTGTACAACATACAATACATTGTAAAACATATAATACATTGTACAACATACAACAATACATTGTACAACAAAATACTGTACAACATACAATACATTGTACAACATACAATACATTGTACAACATACAATACATTGTAAAACATATAATACATTGTACAACATACAACAATACATTGTACAACAAAATACTGTACAACATACAATACATTGTAAAACATATAATACATTGTACAACATACAACAATACATTGTACAACAAAATACTGTACAACATACAATACATTGTACAACATACAATACATTGTACAACATACAATACATTGTACAACATACAATACATTGTACAACATACAACAATACATTGATCATGAGCATCGATCCACACACTTGGGAAATGATGACATGCATCAACCATGTATGCCAGCCTGACCACCCAAACCCGTTTGTCTCCTCTTACGGCAAGCATGGGTTGCTGAAGACCTATTTTACCCCAGATCTTCACAATACAATACATTGTACAACATGTGGTCAGGATCAATGACTTGATTGCATACCCCTTAGAATTCTACCCCTTTGATGTGGATTGTTGCTCACAATATCAATCACTGGATTGTCCAGTCACTGGCATAAATCTGGAATATTGCCGAGGGCAGTGTCAAACAACAAACTAAGATTGTATCAACATTTATGCTGTCATACCTTCTGACAAGTGGTTTCTTCAAAACACACATACACTTGGAGAACTAATCTTTCGAACTAATTCATTATTAATTCCCAATTAGGCCACACATTTTTTATTTTTTGTTTCACGGGCATGCCGCCCCTACTTAAAAGCAGCTGGAAAAGAAATAAATTATAAAAAAAATAATTTCTTTTTATTATGTCTCCTGGTAGTAATTTAGACCCTCTTCTACATCATAATATGTTATACATATAAATCTATGTTTACATCACTATCAGTGATTCAAGAAGCCAGCTACAGAATGACAAACAAATAAATAAATAAATAAATAAATAAATAAATAAATAAATAAATAAATAAATAAATAAATAAATAAATAAATAAATAAATAAATAAATAAATAAATGACATAGCTATATATTTTAACCTATATTTCGACTGATCTTGTGATAAACAGCTGAAATATATCCGTGAAACATAAAATTAAAAAAAGTGTGGCCTCATCTATTAAAACGTTAAAGTAGGCCGAGGAAACCTCTCCATCACTGGAATGACAGAACTTGTCCTACACTGTGTTACACTACACAGGTTACACTACACAGGTTACACTACACAGGTAACACTACACTGTGTTACACTACACAGGTTACACTACACAGGTAACACTACACTGTGTTACACTACACAGGTAACACTACACTGTGTTACACTACACAGGTAACACTACACAGGTTACACTACACAGGTAACACTACACAGGTTACACTACACAGGTAACACTACACAGGTAACACTACACAGGTAACACTATATAGGTTACACTACACGGGTAACACTACACAGGTAACACTACACTGTGTTACACTACACAGGTAACACTACACAGGTTACACTACACAGGTTATACTACACAGGTAACACTACACAGGTAACACTACACAGGTTACACTACACAGGTAACACTACACAGGTAACACTACACATGTAACACTACACAGGTGACACTACACAGGTAACACTACACAGGTAACACTACACAGGTTACACTACACAGGTTACACTACACAGGTTACACTACACAGGTAACACTACACAGGTAACACTACACGGGTTACACTACACGGGTAACACTACACAGGTAACACTACACTGTGTTACACTACACAGGTAACACTACACAGGTAACACTACACAGGTAACACTACACAGGTTACACTACACAGGATACACTACACAGGTTACACTACACAGGATACACTACACAGGTTACACTACACAGGTTACACTACACAGGTAACACTACAGGTAACACTACACAGGTTACACTACACAGGTTACACAGCATGGCTCCGCAAGCCATGGTGTAAACAAAGGTGTTTGTTTGAGTTCAGCTTTGTACATGAATTTCACTCAGATGTTGCAATATGGAGGTGTTGCAAGACCAACCATTAAGCTGTGGAAGAATGAACAGCTTGAGAGCTCCGTTCATCACCAACTGGAGAGCCGTGGGCTGCAACAGAAATAGATGCCCAATGAAAATATAAATACTTGCCAGACAATATTTAGCAACAGATTCTAAATTCCTTCTGATATAGAGGAAATGTTTGAAACAGCTCAAGTATGCACCTAGTTGGCATACAGTATCTTGTTTTCCATATTCAACGTATTAAGCAACCCCTACTAAGGCTGAGATAATCATTACAGGCAACATCTGCTTGTCTATATTACAGACTTTTCTACAGAAACAGCAACGCAGAAGGTGTATTTTATCAAATATGTTTATAACACGTCCCTAGCAGCCGATGGTTGTCGTAAGAGGTGGCCATGGATGGGGTGGTCTGGCTCTATGACCTGGTTGATTGCGTGTCACTGTACCCCATACCGCATGAATTGTTGCTCACAATATCAATCACTGGATTGTCTGGTCCAGACTGGACTATTTACAAGCTGCCGTGACATAGCTGAAATATTGCTGAGTGCGGCATTAAACAAGAAACAGGTCTGTCATGAACTGTTTTTTGATCACTTAACTTAATCTGGATATGACAGAAACTTGATTCTAAGATGATAAAACTTCAGTAGAAACTTCAATGCCACCATTTGTTAATTCTGCTATCAAGCTGAACACACGTCTTAACTAAAGACTAAATCTATAACAATACATACTTATTGACAGGGCTTACTCTTGGCCTTCCATATGTTTAGAAAAAGAATCTAAAAGAAAGACAAGTATTCAAACATGGAGACTCACTTGGAGGAGCGACTTAAACCACTTACCGACACCGTGCCAACTGTAGAATTCTTCACATCCAGTTTGAGGCTGTTGATGAAAAAACCCACAACAATGAACACCACAAACCCACATATATATACTATGTTGACATCATGTTTATTAACTTTAAAAATGGATATAGGTAAAAATGGTGAAAAAACGGGTATGGTAAGGGCAGCAGTTTACTATGGGTGAGTGGCTAGTGCCTAGATGCTGCTCCCATCGAGTGATGTTATCAAGTAGACGCGGGAAGCACCTACCAGGAATGGACAAGGAACAGTTTTAAATGGTATAACAGGTCTGGGACAATTTGGATAATTAAGGAACATAGTTATACAAATTGTACTTGTTCACAATATCCCATCGGCGTATACTTGATATACTATTTCAACACTTACCGTATTTGACGTAATAAGCGCCCCACTCTAATAACCACCCACGGCGATATTTCCTAACATATTGGCTAGTGAACAATACCAATTAGCACCCCTTCCGATTGATCAATGTACACAACACTTATTTATTCGCGTATAATACGCACTCGTGTGTTATATGCACCCTTAATTATGGGCAATTAAATTCTGGAAAAATATATCTCTCGTATATAAACAGTTCAGGCTGTCAGCACAAACCAAGAAATTTATCTTTCAACTCTGTTTTTTCACCAAAACAATATTCTAATAAGAGCCCTATTTCTAATTTTGAGAGCGCCCTGGGCGCTTATTACGTCGAATACAGTATTACAGATGTTACTTCAACTATACATTCTCTTGTTACTGAGTGAGTGAGTTGGGTTTAACGCCGCTTTTAACAGTATTCCAGTTATATCACGGCGTGTCAGCTTAATGTGGGAGGAAAGCCCGAAGTGATGCAGGTCTCAGACGTTTACCACTTCGGTGAAACCCACGAGCACGGGTATGGTGCTGACAAACCTAGAAACATAATTGGGGCGAACCGGGATTCGAACCCACAATCATAGGTTTCTGGCGTGCCCAAGGGACGCAACTCTGCACAGCGAATCGCGGCGCCTTAGACGACTGGGCCACCCGTGCCCCCGCTTGGCAGAGAAACGTAATATTTTTTAATAATGTCGACATTTCCACGTTTCTCTTGTTACTGAGTGACACAAAACATCAAAGTGCTCCCCATGACTTTTCTTAAGCTTAATTATTTCATTTTCCATGTCTGTCTGTGTCTATTTTCCAAATGGTAATGGTTGCGTGTGTCTGCAGACTGACGTTGGACGCTGGTGACCTACTTTGTACTGGTGATCTTGCCCGTCACCAGCTGGCGGACGATGCTGGCGTTGACCTTGGCATCAAGCACCTGCACAATACAACATAGACTGTGAAGTAATTATCAGTTGTGTCTTATCAACATCGTGGCATCAAACCAGACTAGTTTGCTGACTGATTTGAACCACTAAACAATACAATTATGAATTTGTATAGGGCACTCTCCAGTTTACAACTGCTCAAATGTCCTTAGACCATGATGGATCTTCATTGTAAACCTTGTCAATTCTCAGCTCCCTGGGAATATGCACCCAAAGCTGCTTGTGATGCTCCAGTTCACCACTAGACCTATCTATGTGCCATGTTTGGTGAAAAAACAAGCACATTTAAATCCTAAGTCTAAGTTGTTGCCATGGAAACTAGAAAAATATTTTTTCCAAAAAATCCCAAACTAAAAGGCACCAGTTCCCCACCTGACCTATCTATGTGCCAAGTCTGGTTTGTCTGGTCCAGACTCGATAGTTTGCAGGCCATCGTCATACATTGTGGACTGCAGCATTAAACAAGAAACTAACACTGAGAGACTGAACCATGTAGATAGTGTAGTGGGATGACACACTGGGGGTACTCACAACGGTGATGGTGAGCAGGAAGGGGGTCTTTCCACCGGCTGTCTTGGCGTAGAGGTCAACATTGCCAGCGAAGTTCATGTTGATGAGGCCCCCAGCGATGGTGACGTTGGGAGGGGCTGTGGCATGCATCCTCATCAGCACCTGGCTGTTGGGGTACTTCTTGCCGATCTGTTACAGACAGTGTTACATGTCACAGAGGGTCAGACAAATTGGCAATTGGCTGCCCTAGCAAGTTCAAAGTCATTCTAACACCACTAGTGGTAATATTGGGAGAAACTGTCACCCTCTTGTGATTTGTATCGAAGAGATGGGGTTATATTTTCTTTGCTGATTGAGCAGTGAGAACCACGACAAACAGCTGCAGCTACCTGGGGGACGAAGGCGCCCACGCACTTGAAGCCGCTACAGGTTGTGTTGAGGATGGACCTGTTGCCAGGTGGGAGCTGAAACAGAATACATTAAATATATATGTATGAAAAATCTAATGCCAAACAAACAACAAACAAAAAGAAAGAAACTATCAAAAACAAATAAACAAACATAAAGAAAAAGAAAGAAAGAATCAAACAAACAAAAAGAACAAAACAAGTCAACAAACAAACAAAAAGAAATAAAGAAACAACCAAAAACTAAGAAAAAAAAGAAAAAAGAGACAAACAAACAAAAAGAAACAAACAAACAAACAAAAAGAAAGAAACAAACAAACATAAGAAAGAAAGAAAGAAACGTTGGAAGGGCAACCCGAGTTCTACTCACATCCTTGGCAGTCAGGTTGTACTGCAGGAAGCCGTGCTGGAAGCCGGAGTAGGCGAGGGAGTTCCCCATGTAGTCCGACACCCACAGGTACAGCATGTGGGAGGTGTCGGGCGTGGTCGGCAGGGGGGCAGGGCTGAACGGACACTCCTTCCTCGCTCCGTTCCAGAACACCTCTCCCTGAAGACAGACAGTGAGCACAATGGTGGAGAGACCGTGTGACATTTTGTGTCATGTCGTTTTGACTGTGCATTGTACGAAAGATATCAAATTGCCTCCAAACTGTAGGAAATGTTTTGTAAGTCAATAACTGTAAGTCAAGTTCAGTCAGTTTTAAATCTACTTATGGTCGTCACCATTCCACTCTCCGGCCTTGCCGTGTCTGTGGAGATCCTTCAGCATTTCTTAAATGAGATTACTTTTTTAAAAGGGTTTCATTTTGCCATCAACATCAATACAATATTTGTACAATATATCATGGCAGATGAGAACAACCCGCCTGTGAATACCACAAGCCCCGGTATGGTGCTGACTAAGCAGAAACACAATCACGGCCACGCTGGGAATATACACCATAATCATGGATCCTGGCATGTCAAAGGGAAGTAACTCTGAATCCTAAACTGGGCCCACCGATCCCCCACAATACTTGTAAATTTCAAATTCGTTTTGGGACACTAAATTTTCAATCTTGACGCCTTGGAGAAACTTCAGTCCCCCTATAGTTTGTCCTTACTTGAGCGACATCGGATAACCAAACCAGATACCCTTAATGGGACACCAGAATGAACTTTACCATCATACAAATCAAACCTGATTCTTTGAGATGACAAGCAAATACTTTAACAGCTAGGCTTCCCATCATTGGCCATGCTGTTATCACACAGGTTATCGACCATAACCTGCAACGTTATCAGTGTATCAAGCTTCTTGTCACTGGACTGATGCTGATATGGACTTGTAAACAGCACACTTGACAACATCAGACAACTTACCTTCAACATGGTCTCCAGGAACTTAGTGTCGAAGGTCGGGTTCGAGATGAGGCTGTAGTCAAGGAGGAACTTCTTCAGCACTAAAACTGTCACTGGAATCAAAAGGTCAAGATAAGCTGTATGCAGGGTAATAGCTTTGTTACTTGTTACTCCGTCATTTACAGATCCATGGAAAATGAATTCCACTTCACTGTAGTGGCTGGCTGGGAATATTCAAGGGAGACAAGTATTGGGGTACTAGGGATCTATGCTGGCTGCAAATATTCAAGGGAGACAAGTATTGGGGTACAGGAGATCTATGCTGGCTGGGAATATCCAAGGGAGACAAGTACTGGGGTACCAGGGATCTATGCTGGCTGGGAATATCCAAGGGAGACAAGTATTGGGGTACTAGGGATCTATGCTGGCTGCGAATATTCAAGGGAGACAAGTATTGGGGTACCAGGGATCTATGCTGGCTGGGAATATCCAAGGGAGACAAGTATTGGGGTACTAGGGATCTATGCTGGCTGCGAATATTCAAGGGAGACAAGTATTGGGGTACCAGGGATCTATGCTGGCTGGGAATATCCAAGGGAGACAAGTATTGGAGTACTAGGGATCTATGCAGGCTGCGAATATTCAAGGGAGACAAGTATTGGGGTACCAGGGATCTATGCTGGCTTGGAATATCCAAGGGAGACAAGTATTGGGGTACTAGAGATCTATGCTGGCTGCGAAATTCAAGGGAGACAAGTATTGGGGTACCAGGGATCTATGCTGGCTGGGAATATCCAAGGGAGACAAGTATTGGGGTACTAGGGATCTATGCTGGCTGCGAATATTCAAGGGAGAAAAGTATTGGGGTACCAGGGATCTATGCTGGCTGCGAATATTCAAGGGAGACAAGTATTGGGGTACTAGGGATCTATGCTGGCTGCGAATATTCAAGGGAGACAAGTATTGGAGTACTAGGGATCTATGCTGGCTGGGAATTTCCAAGGGAGACAAGTATTGGGGTACTAGGGATCTGTGCTGTTTTGGAATATCCAAGGGAGACAAGTATTGGGGTACAGGAGATCTGTGCTGTTTTGGAATATCCAAGGGAGACAAGTATTGGGGTACAGGAGATCTGGCTGGCTGGGAATATCCAAGGGAGACAAGTATTGGGGTACAGGAGATCTTTGCTGGCTGTGAATATCCAAAGGAGACAGGTATTGGGGTACCAGGCATCTATGCTGGCTGGGAATATCCAAGGGAGACAGGTATTGGGGTACCAGGGATCTATGCTGGCTGGGAATATCCAAGGGAGACAAGTATTGGGGTACTAGGGATCTATGCTGGCTGGGAATATCCAAGGGAGACAAGTATTGGGGTACTAGGGATCTATGCTGGCTGGGAATATCTAAGGGAGACAAGTACTGGGGTACTAGGGATCTATGCTGGCTGGGAATATCCAAGGGAGACAAGTATTGGGGTACCAGGGATCTATGCTGGCTGGGAATATCCAAGGGAGACAAGTATTGGGGTACTAGGGATCTATGCTGGCTGGGAATATCCAAGGGAGACAAGTATTGGGGTACTAGGGATCTGTGCTGTTTTGGAATATCAAAGGGAGACAAGTACTGGGAACTGAGCTGGCACAGAATTCCAAGAGCAACCATACTTACTTGGGAGTTTTGCCAGCTGCTTATTTGCCTGTGTGTTGACGGCGGCAACAACCAGCTTACACATCTACAAACGGAACACAGACAACATAAAGTATAAGAAGAACCAACAAAAGCTTATATTTCAATAACAAATTGATTTACATGGTGCAACAAAAAATTGTGTGTGAGAGTTTCTTAAACCTCAAGTCTTTGAAAGGCATTTAGAAGTGTTACACACAAGGAAGAGAATTTATGGCACAACTTCTCCATTATGAGGAACACAACGTTTCGGAGTATATCATGTGAACATATGAGGGAGTAAGTATATACTCCGAAACGTTGTGTTCCTCATAATGGAGAAGTTGTGCCATAAATTCTCTTCCTTATCATGAAGAAAGGTGGATGACTAACTGCAGATGAAGCAAGGTGTTTACACACTAGCACGTTAAACTTTTCCCCAATGACAGACAGAACATGGACACATCATGAACCCTGGAGACTCGGCCATATTGTCCATAAGTTGAGACCCACGAAGATCCGGGGTAGAATAGGTCTTGAGCAACCCATGCTTGCCGTAAAAGTTGACTATGCTTGTCGTAAGAGGCGACTAACAGGATTGGGTGGTCAGGCTTACTGACTTGGTTGGTGCATGTCATCATATCTCAATTGCGTGGATCGATGAGCATGATATCAATCACTGGATTGTCTGGCCCAGACTTGATTATTTACAGATCTCCGTCATATAGCTGGAATATTGCTGGGTGCTGCGTTAAGCAACGAACAAACAAACAAACAAACAAAGAAGTTGATTCACTTCTGACTGACCTGGCTCTGTAGAAGACCCTTCACCTTCCCCTCGATGACGTGACTGAAGATATTATAGAGCCAGGAAGCGCCACCGTGGAATTTGATTTTCACACCCCCAATTCCGCTGGAACAACCACTGCCGGCCAGCTTGGGTTTTCCAGCAGCGTCCCCTGTAAACAGTGGTAGTTGTATTGACCTTCACCTTCATCGTGCACAAAGGGGAACAGCGCACAGGAATAATGTTCCAAATGTGATGAAAGATAGAGCAAGATTGAGAACATACCAAGTTTCACTGTCATGCTGAAACTGACCCCACTCAGTGATGCATCAAAGCTGCCATGGTCCGAAATTTTGATCCTGAAACCAAACATCATATTCGTTTATGAAAAGTATTCTTCCCAGCAACTTTTATATACATCCTATCATGCAGACTTGTACTCACGTCTACTCATGTCTACTCATGTCTGCTCTGGCCATCGACCATCTCTGCTTGTACACATCTACTCACGTCTACTCATGTCTGCTCTGGTCATCTACCATCCCTGCTTCTACTCACGTCTACTCATGTCTACTCTGGTCATCTACCATCCCTGCTTGTGCACATCTACTCACGTCTACTCATGTCTACTCTGGTCATCTACCATCCCTGCTCCTACTCACGTCTACTCATGTCTACTCTGGTCATCTACCATCCCTGCTCCTACTCACGTCTACTCATGTCTACTCTGGTCATCTACCATCCCTGCTCCTACTCACGTCTACTCATGTCTACTCTGGTCATCTACCATCCCTGCTCCTACTCACGTCTACTCATGTCTACTCTGGCCATCTACCATCCCTGCTTGTGCACATCTACTCACGTCTACTTTGGTCATCTACCATCTCTGCTTCTACTCACGTCTACTCTGGTCATCTACCATCCCTTCTTCTACTGATGTCTACTCACATCTACTCTGGTCATCTAGCATCCCTGCTTCTACTCATGTCTACTCTGGTCATCTACCATCTCTGCTTCTACTCATGTCTACTCTGGTCATCTACCATCCATGCTTGTACACATCTACTCACGTCTACTCTGGTCATCTACCATCTCTGCTTCTACTCATGTCTACTCATGTCTACTCTGGTCATCTACCATCTCTGCTTCTCCTCATGTCTACTCATGTATACTCTGGTCATCTACCATCTCTGCTTCTACTCATGTCTACTCTGGCCATCTACCATCCATGCTTGTACACATCTACTCACGTCTACTCTGGTCATCTACCATCCCTTCTTCTACTGATGTCTACTCACATCTACTCTGGTCATCTAGCATCCCTGCTTCTACTCATGTCTACTCATGTCTACTCTGGTCATCTACCATCTCTGCTTCTACTCATGTCTACTCTTGTCATCTACCATATCTGCTTCTACTCATGTCTACTCATGTCTACTATGGCCACCTACAATCCCTTCTTGTACTGATGTCTACTCATGTCTACTTGTGTCTACTCTGGCCACCTACCGTCCCTGCTTCTACTGATGTCTACTCATGTCTACTCTGGCCACCTACCGTCCCTGCTTCTACTGATGTCTACTCTGGCCACCTACCATCCCTGCTTCTACTCATGTCTACTGATGTCTACTGATGTCTACTCCGGCCACCTACCATCCCTGCTTCTACTCATGTCTACTGATGTCTACTCCGGCCACCTACCATCCCTGCTTCTACTCATGTCTACTGATGTCTACTCCGGCCACCTACCATCCCTGCTTCTACTCATGTCTACTCGTGTCTACTCCAGCCACCTACCATCCCTGCTTATACTTGTAGTGGAAGTCTCCATGCATGCTCAAGCCCGCCCCGGTCGCACTCCACTTGATGCCTGCCCCTTTCCCTAGTGCCATGGAGCTGCCTGGGGTGGTGAAGCTCTTAATTGTCATCCTACAACAAAACCAGAAATAGCAGAACACAAACACATTTTGTACAGAGATTCAGACAAAGATTTCAAGATGTTTGTGCATTTTCTTGTTGTTGGTGAAAATGGATACATGTTACATTTGCTGCAAAAAGGGAAGGGTAGCAGTGGTGGTGGTACTCAGGATGTGATTGGTTGGTTTGTTGTTTAACTCCGCACTCAGCAATATTCCAGCTATATGACAGCGGTCTGTAAATAATTGAGTCTGGGCCAGCCAATCCAGTGATTGACATCAGGAGCATTGATCTACCCAATTGGGATACGATGACATGCATCAACCAAGTCAGGGAGCCTGACCACCCGATCTTGTTAGTCGCCTCGTACGACAAGCATAGTCGCCTTTTACGGCAAGCATGGGTTGCTGGAGACCTTTTCTACCCCGGATCTTCACGGATCCACTCAGGGTGTGAGTGGGGTCTCTGTAACCAAGGTAACTATGCAGTCTGACTGTCTCTCACCCCGTGATGCTGTAGGTGACTTTGCCAGATTTGCCGGACTGGTCTGGGATGTGCAGTTTCCTGATGGACTGGGACAAGGCCAGCATGGCCATTTTGTTTGCTGAAAATATCAAAATGTTATCTTTCAGATACTTGGTTGGATAACTTCATCAGATGATACCTTTCACTCCTTGTTAGACACAATTCTAGAGCTGAGCGTAGTGTTCATGCCAATTTAAGTCCAGGGGCGGTATTCAGAAAAATTCTTAGAGTGCTAAAGAGGTCTTAAGTCTGAGAAAATTCTAAGAAGTACCAAAAGTTACTCTTCTCTTAAATCTAAGAATTTTCTGAAGTCATGTTCATAAAACCTTTCAGCACTAAGAGTACTCAAGAGGACTTTGGTGACTTAAGGATTTTCTTAAGTATCCAATATAGCGGCAGATTAGTTACGACCAATGTCCGAACTAAGAGTAAGTCTCAGAGTTTTACTTTACTCTTAGCTAGAAGTTACTCTCAGAGTCATTATGATTACACTAAGTGTATCTCTTAGCAAAGCATTTTTTAGCGAGTTAAGAGAATTTTTTTTAAAATTCTGAGAATTTGTATGAAGACCGCCCCAGATGTTCAGATGAAACTTTCATGAAGTTTATCATGATGATGTTAGCAAATGTTCAAGTTTGTTGACACGGTAAACATGGTAAAATGTTATATTTGCTCTTGACTCATTCAACCAAAGCACATAACACACAAACATGATGAACAAACACAGCACATCATGTTTCAGGTCCCCGCCCACGTCATGTTTCAGGTCCCCGCCCACGTCATGTTTCAGGTCCCCGCCCACGTCATGTTTCAGGTCCCTGCCCACGTCATGTTTCAGGTCCCCGCCCATGTCGTGTTTCCAATACCCACCCACGTCATGTTTCAGATACCCTCCCATGTCATGTTTCAGGTCCCCGCACACGTCATGTTTCAGGTCCCCTCCCACGTCATGTTTCAGATACCCACCCACGTCATGTTTCAGGTCCCCGCCCACGTCATGTTTCAGGTCCCCGCCCACGTCATGTTTCAGATACCCACCCACGTCATGTTTCAGGTCCCTGTCAACGTCATGTTTCAGATACCCACCCACGTCATGTTTCAGGTCCCTGTCAACGTCATGTTTCAGGTCCCCGCCCACGTCATGTTTCAGGTCCCAGCCAACGTCATGTTTCAGGTCCCTGTCAAAGTCATGTTTCAGGTCCCCGCCCACGTCATGTTTCAGGTCCCCGCCCACGTCATGTTTCAGGTCCCCGCCCACGTCATGTTTCAGATACCCACCCACGTCATGTTTCAGGTCCCCTCCCACGTCATGTTTCAGATACCCACCCACGTCATGTTTCAGGTCCCCGCCCACGTCATGTTTCAGATACCCACCCACGTCATGTTTCAGGTCCCCGCCCACGTCATGTTTCAGGTCCCTGTCAAAGTCATGTTTCAGGTCCCCGCCCACGTCATGTTTCAGGTCCCCGCCCACGTCATGTTTCAGGTCCCCGCCCACGTCATGTTTCAGATACCCACCCACGTCATGTTTCAGGTCCCCTCCCACGTCATGTTTCAGATACCCACCCACGTCATGTTTCAGGTCCCCGCCCACGTCATGTTTCAGATACCCACCCACGTCATGTTTCAGGTCCCCGCCCACGTCATGTTTCAGGTCCCTGTCAACGTCATGTTTCAGGTCCCCGCCCACGTCATGTTTCAGGTCCCAGCCAACGTCATGTTTCAGGTCCCTGTCAAAGTCATGTTTCAGGTCCCCGCCCACGTCATGTTTCAGGTCACAGCCCACGTCATGTTTCAGGTCCCCGCCCACGTCATGTTTCAGGTCCCCGCCCACGTCATGTTTCCAATACCCACCCACGTCATGTTTCAGGTCCCCGCCCATGTCATGTTTCAGATACCCACCCAAGTCATGTTTCAGGTCCCCACCCACGTCATGTTTCAGATACCCACCCACGTCATGTTTCAGGTCCCCGCCCACGTCATGTTTCAGGTCCCTGTCAACGTCATGTTTCAGGTCCCCGCCCACGTCATGTTTCAGATACCCATCCACGTCATGTTTCAGGTCCCCGCCCACGTCATGTTTCAGGTCCCCGCCCGAGTCATGTTTCAGGTCCCTGTCAACGTCATGTTTCAGGTCCCTGTCAACGTCATGTTTCAGGTCCCCGCCCACGTCATGTTTCAGGTCACAGCCCACGTCATGTTTCAGGTCCCCGCCCACGTCATGTTTCAGGTCCCCGCCCATGTCATGTTTCAGATACCCACCCAAGTCATGTTTCAGGTCCCCACCCACGTCATGTTTCAGATACCCACCCACGTCATGTTTCAGGTCCCCGCCCACGTCATGTTCCAGGTCCCTGTCAACGTCATGTTTCAGGTCCCCGTCCACGTCATGTTTCAGGTCCCCGCCCGAGTCATGTTTCAGGTCCCTGTCAACGTCATGTTTAAGGTCCCTGTCAACGTCATGTTTCAGGTCCCCGCCCATGTCATGTTTCAGGTCCCTGCCCACGTCATGTTTCAGGTCCCCGCCCACGTCATGTTTCAGGTCCCAGCCCACGTCATGTTTCAGTTCCCTCCCACGTCATGTTTCAGGTCTCTGCCCATGTCATGTTACTGGCAGAGGGAACATGTTCCCTATGCTGAAGTCTCGGCAATCTTTGTGTGAACCCAAATGTGGAAGGGGATCTGTGCCAAATGTACAGTGTGCTACATGTGTCTTTCATAATCAGTAGAAATCTTGACTCCATTTTGCCGTATGTCAACTGATGGAATGCAACATGGTTTATTTCACACTACACCAGAGCTACAGATCAGCAGCGAATTTGCTTAAAATACCCCCAAAAAATATTCAAAACCCAATTACTTTCAATTAACTTGCGTACAGAAACACATGCATTAAATGAAAAAGTCAAATGTATGAAAACAGCACGCGTAAATACCCAATGAAGCTTTTTCAGCATGCATACAAAGGAGCTAATTTCCAAAACACAATTAGAAGCTTATATACTTTCCGAGTCCAGCCTATATATTTAGAACAGTTATATACATCTAAAACATTATTTCATATTTTTTAATTCTTTAAATGTTCAATACTTTTGGGAAAAACCCAATAGAGTGATGAATAGATAGTGAAAAAATATTGGTTACCCAATGAAAAATGTAATAACCCAATTAAAATAGAAACCCTAGAGTGAAAAGTCAGTTGTTCAAAAGGTTATCTGGAGCTCTGCTGCACTGACAAACAATTTATGCTACAGCTAGGCTCCATCTACTAATGTCTATACACAATAAGTTTTGGGAAAATGGCTATTTCGTGTTTGTGCGCAGTGTCTTGCAGTGTCAAGTCCAGCTGAAGAAAAAATTGCTCGATCAGTTGCGAGGCTGACCCCGTCACACAGCACCCGTGTGACTACGGAAGTGATGACATCACATATCTTCACAGTACTGCTTGTCACGAGGCTGACACGTTGGGTCTAATTAACCGTTACAGCTATTTGTGTTCCTTCTCTGTGGCTGTCGACATTTTGTTGTGGTGTTTGTCATTACCTCCATCTGCGCCCCCCTGCGTAAACTGGTTTTGAATGATTTTAAGACCATTTTAATGGCCATAAAAAGCATGTATTCTGAAAAATTATATTTTTATCTAGACTACATTTTATATGAATGAGTGAGAATTTCCCAACCTTGCGTGTGAGCGTAACATAGGTGATAAATCCGTGTGTGAGTTGCCAGACCGATGCTTTGATGTGTAAAGCTAGATTGTCATGCACCACACTGTCGCAGTTGTCTATATAATTATGCAGCATACTATGTAAAGCACGCGGATATGGTGGGGTTGGGGGGGGGGGGGGGGGGGGGGAGAAGGCAAGCAGACCCAGTAAGTTAGGTGGTTATCAGCTATTGTTTACAGATATGGCTTTACAATGGTTGACTACTGGCCCTTTATAAGCGTCCAGGGCACTTAACGCAATCATGGTAGCCATTTATTGATACACGTTAATCACAATCACAGTGTCCCATCAATACTGATGTTGGTTAAACACACGCAGGAACCATGTATAGATAGGCCCAGGTCAGCCACCATGCCTAGCCCCTGGTGGCCTGGAGAGTTGCCAGCTTAAAGGTCAAGGCCGTGGTAACCACAGCCCTCATATTCAACCTAAAAAATATTGCCCCAGAGGCAAATCCAACTGATTGAAAAACAAAACAAACATCAGTCATACTCACCATAAGTAAGGCCTTTCTGTGTTATTCTTGCTTTAAAACCCGGAGCTGTGGATGCAACAACAGCAACGAACACCACCACAACAAAAATAACAACAATCTTCATTTTGTTGTTGTGACGACTGCCACCGACCACTTTCACTGAGAGTGAGACGTCTTCTAGAGCGATCCGTCAACTGCCGAGCTAGATGTCTAGCGTGTTACTGCTCGTCAACGCTTCTCAACAGGGAAGTAATATGTGGTTTGACAGCACCAACCAGGAAGTAGAAACTGAAAATACGGTCGGCCCTGTCCACTGCCTCACATGATCACCTGTGACGATGGTGGGAAATTCCAGCCAAGGGACGTTACTCTTGGTATCACTGTTATTCAATCAAGCGTGTCGAAATGCCAACTTGAATCTGTCCCTAACACCGACATGGAGAGGTTGGTGTTGTGAGTTGTGACGCTTTTATTAAAAGGCAGTTGTGGCAAAACATATTGATGTTGAAGCAATCGTCAAGATCAATAGCTTTCCTTGTTTCCTAGCAACGTTTTAAACTTCATTATATATACTCATCAAAAAAGAAACGCACAGGTAGATGTTTCGTAAATTTATTGTACCTAATAAAATTGATATATTATCTTAATATCATAGATACAAATATGAAATTTTGGGACTCGATATTCACATGTTGTCGTGGTACAAAGACATTGAAAACTGTTCATTGTCATGTCACATATAAGGCCACAAGGTTGCGCTGAACTCAGTATCTCCTGTGACCGCCCATCAGGGCTCTGCGTCTCCTCGGCACTGACTGGATGAGTGTACGAATTCTGTCCTGCGGAATTCTGCGCCATTCTGCTTGTAACGCGTTGGCCAGTTGTGGGAGTGTCTGCGGCGTGTTCTGACGTTGACGTACACGTCTATCGAGTTCATCCCAGAGGTGTTCGATTGGGTTGAGATCTGGAGATCTCGACGGCCAGGGCAAGACGTTGATATTGGCATTATGAGGTAGTCTACCGTGACACGAGCTGTGTGCGGTGGAGCCTTGTCCTGTTGAAACAGCTCCCTCTGGCCGTCAATGATTGGAAGAAGGTGAGGTTGAAGAATTTGATTCATGTAGCGATTTGCTGTCAAATTTCCCTGAACCACAACCAAATCAGATCTCGTGGTGTACGATATGGCCCACACACCATAACACTATCGCCACTGAATTTGTCGAATTCACGTACACAATGTGGGGCAAAACGCTCATCGCTAAACCACACTCGTCTCCATTTTCTCAAATTCCAAGGCAAGCGACTGGATGCAACACAGGGATGATAAATGGTCTTCTGGGTCGGATAACAGCTTCGCGAAGATGGTTCCTGACAGTCTGGTCCGATATCCTCCTCAAACCAGGGATGCGTCCTGCAGTCTCCGCAGCTGTGGCATTTCGATGACGTAGGTGGAACAGTCGAATGTAGCGATCCTGTGCAGGGGTGGTAACTCATGGTCGGCCGGTTCTCGGACGTTCTGCAGTGGAATTGAAATGTGTGTAATTACAAATGAATTGACAAATTATTGGCTTATGCTTGCATTTTTATAGCCACTACCACTTGCACGTGCATTTTGCTTTAATGTTTTCCTCCATGACCTATTTCAACAAGTGTGAAAACAATGCCGTTTAAGACATCGCGAATCGACAATGTCTGCGTTTTGAAGCACCGTTTATCGAATATCAGACCACCAACATTTCCCAATAACATATATCAAATTTATATACCGAATCTTTTGTGTAGTCAGGTTCAGTGAACTACATACTATCTGTGCGTTTCTTTTTTTGAAGAGTGTATGTTACAGTCAATGTGAAATTTTTTACTTTGCTTATTTACAAAACGCATAAATATTTCAGTTATTTTTCAGATTAACTAAAAAATCTGACCATTTATTATATTGTGATAAAAAATTCCAAACATTTTTTTGTTTAATTTGATAGGATTAAAAGAAATATAAAGTCAATGGTTTTTTTTGCTTCTAATCCTTGCAATAATTAGTCGACTGTGATGTTTTTAAGACCTTTTAAACTTCTCAATAATTTGTAGTCAATATGTCAAATAAATGGACAGATGTTTAAGTCGATTTGTGAAATGACTGAAACATTTAGGCATTTTATAAATTACCTCAGTGACTAACATTTCACACAATGACTGTTACATGTACACTTATAACATCCACGGGTACTTTCAGTAGATAAAACAGAATTTCAGTAACTGTTACAAGTGCATATTATAGTTATGGCATCCGAAGGCACACGAAAATCTCGTTTGTTTGGGTGATATAAACATATTTCATATACATGTATGTTCGAATAACACAGTACAGTAAGTAGGGTCTATTTATATAAACAGTGGTGCCTAATGAGTCTTGACCGACACGATTACTAAGGAATAAATTTGGAATTAAATATGTAAAAACAAAGCCAGTCCAGATTTATAATAAAGCACGTCTAGCCAGCTAGACATCCACGGCATCAGGAAATTTGAAAAACAATAATTAGAGGAGAGAAAATTTAATGTATTGTGTAATAAAAAAATTCATAGACTATATGTTAGTCAAATGAGATCTGCCGAGACTTTTTGTCCCATTTATACGTGATCGGGTACTGATCTACGATGACGCCAGTGAATTTCGAATATAGACTACTTTTCTACTCTGACCCTCTGACGAGAGGGACACCGCTGTTTCTGGTGTCATGTGGAGTGGAGTTAATCCTTCCTTCAGTGGTGTCACTCTGAAGCAGGAACAGAATCAGTCGTATTATGGGATACTTTGATCCACTGACACATTTACGTGAGTATTTACGAGTTGTGCAAGGTCAACGCCATGGCAACGAGGCGTTTGATGATTTCCTCCATTTTATCTATATCAGGATGTTAAATGTAATAAGACTTAAACATTTTCCTGAGACTCTACTATCAATGAAAACATATCAAAATGGCACGAGGAAGATGCCAACAAATTTAGGAAAAACATAAAAAAACATAACAAAGTTAAAGTTAGACGTGATGGACATATACTGGAACATTGTTGTTGTTGTTTGTTGTTTAACGCCGCACTCAGCAATATTCCAGAGACACAGAGAGAGAGAGAGAGAGAGAGAGAGAGAGAGAGAGAGAGAGTATTCCAGAGAGAGAGAGAGAGAGAGAGAGAGAGAGAGAGAGAGAGAGAGAGAGAGAGCAGCCTGTCGAATTGAGTTCCCCGATCTAACAATGTTTATCTAGCTATGGCCTCATGCTTTCTGCGTGCATTTTGCGCACAGGCTTTGGGAACATTCTTGGCAGGTATCATTGAATGTGACGACAAGGACTGATGCTATTCACTCCACATGTGATCCCGGATTTTGTCCATGAGCGTAGGGGGGCCGTCGGGTTGCCTAGCAGTTAAAGCGTCGAAGACCCAGGTTCGATTCCCGACATGGGTACAATGTGTGAAGCCCATTTCTGGTGTCCCCCGCCGTGATATTGCTGGAATATTGCTAAAAGCGGCGTAAAATCATACTCACTTACTCCGCGAGCGTAGGTGTCTCAGCAGCGAATTGAAATAATGAGTGAAATGTTAGTATATCTGGTGGTCTGGTGTGTTAGTTCACAGGCAAACATTATCCAGTCATCTTCGGGATAGCTCAGGAATACTCTACCCTCTCTATGTTCCGTTATTTCTTGTCGCCAGTATATGTTGCCCTCCTACCCTCTCTATGTTCCATCATATCTTGTATGCGGTCAGGTAGCCTAGTGTGTAAAGCGTCCGCTCGTCATGCCGAAGACCCGGGTTCGATTCCCGACATGGCTACAATGTGTGAAGCCCATTTCTGGTGTCCCCCGCCGTGAAATTGCTGGAATATTGCTAAAAGCGGCGTAAAACCATAGTCACTCACTATTTCTTGTCGCCAGTATATGTTGCCCTCCTACCCTATGTTCCGTTATTTATTGTCGCCAGTATATGTTGCCCTCCGACCCTATGTTCCGTTAGTTCTTGGCGCCAGTATATGTTGCCCTCTACATGTTTAACTGAGTCAAATACGATAGTAAGAAGTCTTCCGACATTTTCACATTCTACGGAAGGCCTGGCCCATCAGGACATCCGTTATATTCTAATATGAGCACGTGAATATGGCTTATGTCACGTTCGTACTGGTTTCGATGGGATTGTTTGTAGCCATGTTTGCATCCGTCGTTTTGTGGATAGAGCGTCTGGCGGGTGAGGGGAAGGTCGGTGGCTCGATTCCCGATAAAACAAGAACTGGTCGTCTCCAAGTCGGTATGCTGTGTCTGTGTGAGGCATTCATGTTAAAGTGTGGCAGGGTATCTCAGTGGGCTGGTGTCAACGATGATCAGAACCTAATGGAATCAGTTACACCGGGACAAATACACCGATATACAGAGGCACACGCACGCACGCACGCACAGACACTGACAAGTATTCAAATATGGCGTCGTGTTGTTCTCCCAAGCGCCCTCTATGCTTGTGAACTCTGGGCAAGCATATCAAAAGAACTCCGTGGATTAGAACTCCCGCAACGCTACTTTGCCAGATCAATACCGACCTTCCACAACAGATCCCCGACTGATTGAATTTCTCAAACTCTTGGTCTCTTGACAATTGAAGCAGTGATTGACAAAACTAAACTTGCCTACCTCGGTAGACTCTGTAGATGTAAAGCAGATTATTTCACAAGACCCTGTTTCACAACCGACAAGGACAGTACCTAAATGACTGTGTCTTAGATGTATACATATGTTGTTCAGAATAGGTCTTCAGCAACCCATGTTTGCCGAACAGGCGACTATGCTTGTCGTAAAAGGCGACTACCGGGATCGGGTGGTCAGGCTCGCTGACTTGGTTGATGCAAGTCATCGATCCCAATTGCGTGGATCGATGTTCATGATGTCAATCACTGGCATGTCTTGTCCAGACTCGATTATTTACAGACCGCCGTCATATAGCTGGAATATTGCTGAGTGCGGCGTAAAACAACCAACAAACCGTGATCTACTTGGCATTACTATGAGGAGCACAAGCTCTTCCATTTCATTGAAACGTATCACACTGAAGGACATTTCCCGAAAAGACAAATTGGAAAAAGAATCGTTAATAACACGGTAGCTCGACTTGAAAGACAGAAATGGATAGAATAGGGGTCCACTCGCCAAGACCTGACACGTTTTCATATGATACATGAAAGACTAGCTCCACATAGATTGTGGACTATGTGTGACCTTTACAACATGAATAGCAGGCCAATATATGCCCTAGTTAAACGAGGTATTTTACCCATAACAACTGGTATATGTATGATTTGTGTAGCAGGCCAATATATGCCCTAGTTAAACTAGGTATTTTACCTATAACAACTGGTATATGTATGATGTGTGTAGCAGGCCAATATATGCCCTAGTTAAACGAGGTATTTTACCTATAACAACTGGTATATGTATGATGTGTGTAGCAGGCCAATATATGCCCTAGTTAAACGAGGTATTTTACCCATAACAACTGGTGTATGTATGATGTGTGTAGCAGGCCAATATATGCCCCAGTTAAACTAGGTATTTTACCTATAACAACTGGTATATGTATGATGTGTGTAGCAGGCCAATATATGCCCTAGTTAAACGAGGTATTTTACCCATAACAACTGGTATATGTATGATGTGTGTAGCAGGCCTATATATGCCCCAGTTAAACTAGGTATTTTACCTATAACAACTGGTATATGTATGATGTGTGTAGCAGGCCAATATATGCCCCAGTTAAACTAGGTATTTTACCTATAACAACTGGTATATGTATGATGTGTGTAGCAGGCCAATATATGCCCTAGTTAAACGAGGTATTTTACCTATAACAACTGGTGTATGCATGATGTGTGTAGCAGGCCAATATATGCCCTAGTTAAACGAGGTATTTTACCTATAACAACTGGTGTATGTATGATGTGTGTAGCAGGCCAATATATGCCCTAGTTAAACGAGGTATTTTACCTATAACAACTGGTATATGTATGATGTGTGTAGCAGGCCAATATATGCCCTAGTTAAACTAGGTATTTTACCTATAACAACTGGTATATGTATGATGTGTGTAGCAGGCCAATATATGCCCTAGTTAAACGAGGTATTTTACCTATAACAACTGGTATATGTATGATGTGTGTAGCAGGCCAATATATGCCCTAGTTAAACGAGGTATTTTACCCATAACAACTGGTGTATGTATGATGTGTGTAGCAGGCCAATATATGCCCCAGTTAAACTAGGTATTTTACCTATAACAACTGGTATATGTATGATGTGTGTAGCAGGCCAATATATGCCCTAGTTAAACGAGGTATTTTACCTATAACAACTGGTATATGTATGATGTGTGTAGCAGGCCAATATATGCCCTAGTTAAACGAGGTATTTTACCTATAACAACTGGTGTATGCATGATGTGTGTAGCAGGCCAATATATGCCCTAGTTAAACGAGGTATTTTACCTATAACAACTGGTGTATGTATGATGTGTGTAGCAGGCCAATATATGCCCTAGTTAAACGAGGTATTTTACCTATAACAACTGGTATATGTATGATGTGTGTAGCAGGCCAATATATGCCCTAGTTAAACGAGGTATTTTACCTATAACAACTGGTGTATGTATGATGTGTGTAGCAGGCCAATATATGCCCTAGTTAAACGAGGTATTTTACCTATAACAACTGGTATATGTATGATGTGTGTAGCAGGCCAATATATGCCCTAGTTAAACGAGGTATTTTACCTATAACAACTGGTGTATGCATGATGTGTGTAGCAGGCCAATATATGCCCTAGTTAAACTAGGTATTTTACCCATAACAACTGGTGTATGTATGATGTGTGAAGAGGAATGTAACGACGTTGTACTGCACCAGTTAGTAAACTTTGACAGTCTGGTGCAAGAAAGAAATATCCTCTATGTGAAACTGTTTGATTTACTGTGCCTTAACCAATATCTTAAAATAGAAGATTGTACAGACAACGAAGTGAGAGTTGTGACACTACTTGGTGGCATTACGCATATTGTAGAGGAGATGGCACTAGACACATGGGCTCAGTTCATATTTGTTTGTTTGTTTTATGTTTAACTTCGCACTCACCACTTTTCCAGCTATAGTGTATCACGACTGTCTGTTGTCATGAACAACTTCAAATCCCTGATAACAATACAAGATGACCTTTGGTTGTTGATGATAACCTATTGCCTCTTGTCAATGTGATAACAGACGTATCACACAGCCAAATGAACACAGTATCGCCTAGATACTCAGTCAGTACAGAGGGAATACTTCAAGCGCTGAAAACAGAAACAGTGTTGTGCCAGTATCATCACTGCCACTGACAGACATGAAGGTGTGCACGTGTCTGGTCCTCGTCTACACGTGTGTCCGGTTCATGGACGCTAGGTTCACCTTTGAAGAGGATAAAAACACAGTCGTCATTTTCTCCGGAGAGCTGAAGATTGAGTTATGGAAGAACCCGTATCACATGGTGGTGTACGACAACACGACGGGGAAATCTATTGTAACAGAGCGCTCTGATAAAGGACATCGTCTTGGTTATGGAAGGTGGGCCGGAGAATATTTTCACATCTATGAAGGCTATTTATGGAGACTTGGGGACATTGTGGAATGGTACGAGGCCACGAGTCTTGTTTCGGTTAGTTACGGTTCCAATAACGTCACGGCATACATCGCCACCGACGACCCGAAGAACAGAACGATTGAGCTGAGACTGTATGACCTGCGTCAAAGGCAATTCTCTTTCTCTTTCATAATGCCGGACGAGTCCATGAACAGAGTCAGGTGGACCTTGGACACTCCTGACGTCCAACACGAAGGATTCTACGGGTTTGGTGAGCGCTTCAACTCGCTGGATCAAAGGTTATACAAGGTCGGATGTTGGACGCAGGACGGAAGTTTCAGCATCGGCAAACTGTTTCCAAAATTCCGGTTTCCAGGAGGCGAATCCAGTACATATGTCCCCATGCCGCTGTTTCTGTCAACGAAAGGGTACGGCTTCCAAATGGACACAACATACAGAGTGGAATTTGAGTTTTCTCACGTTTATATTGCTGAAATTCAAATAGAATCGAACATTTTTGCAGCAACCTTGTATGGAGGTCATAATGTCAGAGATTCCTTCAACAGAATCATCGAGACTAATGGACACTCACTTATACCTCCGAAATGGGCTTTCGGGCCTTGGAACCAGTTAGACGATGAGGTGACTGGGGTCAATATTTCCCTCCGCGCTGAGGATATGCTGCTAAAATATGACATTCCCTTTTCAATGAACGTCAATACTATGCATTTTCTCCCGGGAGGGGTGAACGAAAGCCTCTACCCCCAAATTCTGGCTCGAAACGAGAAACTGCTAAATATGGGAATCCCCTCGACGGCCTACTTTAATCCCATGGTTGAAACCTCCTACTACGGAACCTACGCTGAAGGTGCAAACAAGGGGTACTTCACCAAGAACGAGACAGGAGACCCGTACCAGTTCCTGTACGTGGCCGCCCACGTGTTCCAGGTGTCGCAGGTCGACTTCACCAACCCCGACGCAGTCGCCTGGTACCAGAGTCTTCTCCAACAAGGAATAGACCTCCAGTTTAAGGGCTGGATGTACGACTACGGCGAGTACACGCCGTCTAACTCTATCAACAGCCTCAACCAGTCGGGTCTAGAGTCGCACAACGAGTACCCGCTTCTCTATCAGAAAGCCTGTTTTGACCACCTGACAGCTAACAACACCCCCGGGTCGCCCTACGCCCCTGATTATGTGTACTACGTCAGATCCGGTTACACTGGATCTCAGAAGTACACGTGGGCGCATTGGACTGGGGACCCGTCTACCGACTGGACTCAAGGGAGCGGAATGATTGCGCAGATGAAGGGAAGTCTTAATATTGGTATTTCCGGCATGCCGTTTTCGGGTTCCGATATTGGGGGTTACGAGTGGTACACTGACCGGTCCCCGAGCCTGGAGCTGTGGGTACGGTGGACGCAACTTGGAGCCTTCAGTGGACTAATGCACGAGCAGGGAGGCGGGAAGGGGTTCGGGGCAAAGACACACATATTCGACACCCCTGCTGGGACAAGACTGTGGCGAAAATTTGCTAAACTGAGAACTCAGCTGTTTCCCTACATCTACACACAAGCTCATATCGCACATGAGACGGGCCTCCCCCTAATGCGGGCACACATTCTGGAGTTTTATGACGACCCAGAGGCTTTTCTTGTGGAGGACCAGTACATGTTTGGTGACAGTATCCTAGTCGCTCCAATACTCTCTGAGGGCTGGAGCGGGCGGGCTGTATACCTACCCAAAGGAGAGACGTGGATTGACATCAGCAGCAATATGACGTATGACGAACCTGATGGTAGATTTCGCATCGGACAGTCGGAACCAGTAGCGGGGGGAACGTTTATCACAGTCAACGCTCCGTTAGATACTATTCCTCTGCTAGTAAGGGCAGGGACCATCATTCCGGCGTTCGATCCTCGCGTACAAGTTCTGAGGACAGCGCCACACCCAAATGTTACCGGATATGACGAAATAAGGACTCTCCATCTGTGGGCGTGGCCAGACTCGACGTCCGCGTCATCAGGACATGACTGGCAAGGTAACACCTTTATAACGTTGCCGATGTCACTGTCGGTTGGCAAGGGGCTCGACGTATCTCTTAATGTGACGTCGGCTAATTATGACACTGTTATTTGCCAGATAGCCATCAATGGCGGGAGGTCCGTAAACTCGGTGAAGGTAGCCGGGGGAGGTCCGGATCTCACGGAGATGCCAACGTGGCAGGCTGTTGTCGATGATGCAGGAACAACCGCCGGTGCTTGGACGTTTGATACCACAAGATATATTCTGTGGATTAAAGTTGGCACCAAATCTATTGACATTAACGCTTTTTTCAAAGAATGACGTCCGTTACCTTCCGTTTTTTTCTGAAACGGCATTTGAACCTGAAAACATCGGACCATGTTTTGTACTAGATTCTGATTAAGATTTGTTTATGACATTAACATACTTAAACTCTTTTTGTCGAAAATACCAAAAAATGCAGTATGAAATAATTGTGAAGCGTTGGCAACCAACTTTGACTACTGTGGGAAATAATGTGATGAAAAGTTTTTTATCCTTTATGTGTCATGAAAATGACATCGGTGGAATACATATCAAACATAGAATACTGCACAGCCAGTGGATATTAAACCGCTTCATAACAACCAATCTTCGTGATGGCTACAAATATCACCTCACTGCACATATCTCACCCTCACTGCCATCATGGCAGCATGGATATAACAATGTTATGTTTATGTATACTGAACAACAAAAGTTCCTGTGACATTGAATAACATTTAATGCAAAGTTATGTTTTTTACCAAATCTGAAACAATTTCGGTTTGCAACAGATAAAAGACTCCTCTTAGTGTTCAAATGGTTTAATTTGCCATACTGACTTCATAAAATGCGTGATTTCATTAAAAAAAAACATGAACATGCCAAAATGTCAATTTACAAATCAATAGCGTGTGTGTCCACCTCTGGTTGCGATGCAAGCAACACATCTTCGTCTCATGGAATGGACCAGGCGTCGCACAAAGTATCTGTCCATATCTGCTGGAGCATGTTTCGAAGTTCCTGGAGTGTCTGTGGAACACGTGGTTGACGTCGAAGGCGCCGATCCATCTCATCCCACATGTACTCGATTGGTGAGAGATCCAGGGGATGACATGCACGTTGTTTTGTTGAAGAGATCCCTGAACAAGTCGAGCAATATGAGGCCGGGCGTTTTCATGTTGAAAGGTAATGCCTGGGCCATGACGACGCAAAAACGGTAGAACAACAGGGCTGATGATCTCGTCGCGGTAGCGCTGTCCAGTGAGATTTCCCTCTACCACTATCAAACGTTCACCTCGACGTCGGTGCACTCGAATCCGTCCATCGCTGTGGCTGAGGTGAAAACGAGACTCGTCAGTGAATATGGCCGTCCAGCGTAGACGCTGTCTGCACCACTGTAGACGTGCTGTACAGTGGTTTCCTGTCAAAATGGGACGTCTGACGGGTCTTCTGGCAACAATCCCTGCACATCTGAGGCGACGACGTACGGTTTGTGAAGATATTCGTCGAAGGCCAGGGCTGCTTCTTGCAGTCACTGTTGCTGGCCGGAATCGATTTCGTAGGTGTGTTGTTCGAATCCAGTTGTCTTGTCGATTATTGGTTATGCGTGGCCTGCCACTCCGAGGATGGTCTCTGACTGCATTCGTCGGTTGCCAACGTTGCCATAAACACCAGATAGTGTTTCTGTGGACGTTAAATTGTCTTGCAATATCACGTTGACTCGATCCTGCCTCAAGCATACCAAAGGCTCGCAGACGCTCATTTTCGGACAGGCGTAGCATTTGGTAATGTTGAATAATTGCGTAATTTTGTTGTTTTTCTGAATGGTTGTTGTCAGCACAATGCTAAACAATGCATATGGAATCCCGTTAACGCACATGTTTTTATACCCATTCTTGGGTAGTGAAATGCATGAGGCTTCCATAAAAGTCAACTTTTGCATGGAATGCATGCTTTTCTTTTCTGTAGCAGTTGCGTTTTTGTGACTTGATTCCATACATGTACTACAATATTTAAAACCAAACTTTACTTACTAAAATATTGGTGTCAGGGAACTTTTGTTGTTGAGTATATTAAGTGAGCTGCAGTGACTTCGTACTATTTGCGGATTTACGGAGTGTATCAAGATCCTAAAAGAGCGCAAAGTTGACTGACTAGAAGGAATAAAAAATGAATAGAGCGGGTGCATACTTTCAGACCATGTATATTTATTTATTTACATCACGTGCATGCGCATATATTTCACTGCATACGATTTACCCGCATATTAACACAGAGTCATTAAGCTAAAATCATCACAAATACTATCTGATTGTCCAAATGCCGCCAATAGTTGCAACACCCACCCACCCACCCCCTCACTCACTCACACACTCGTCTACCCCGCCTACATGGATGAATGTATCAGATTACAATGCACACTTGTAACCTCATTCAAGGCATCAAATCATTAAGTTGTATTTATACGGTTATTATTTAGCTTGAGTGAGATATAATATTGCTGCATACGTTTATGTGTCGGGTCATAGTATTACCCAGAGTTACTATATTTACATCTGAGCTTCTTTTAAGTCAGTATTTGTACAATATGTTCTAATTCAAAATATCGGGCAAGTCGTAGTTTCGTGAAACGGAAAATGGTGATGGCGGAGAAAATGGGGAGTGAATGATGTTTTCGACCGCAGTCAGCATTACCAGCGTCTCGTGTCCAGAAACCCGTGACAGAGGTCGATGACACAATCAGCACGTGACACATTGTACCATCCAAACTCACTAGTCGGTTCATTTGTTTGTTTGTTGTTTTACGCCGCACTCAGCAATTTTTCATGGCAGCTACATGACTGCAGTCTGTACAAAATCGAGTCTGGACCAGACAGTCCAGTTGGGATATGATGTCATGCATCAACCAAGCCAGCGAGCCCAACCACCCTATCCCGTTTGTCGCCTCGTACGATAAGCATGGGCTGCTAAAGACCAACCCTAACCCAGATGCTGGTTCCCGTGACAAACAAGAAGTCGGGGGCTATGCTACCCGTGAAGTTTTAATGAGGACTTTGAAATGGATCGTTGACTTGTGAAAGCCATGGCTGGGTGTTGGCGGTGCTGCTAGATGCTTCTGCTCTGTCTTCTTGAGTACACATCCCGATGTTTGTTTGGTTGTTTGTTTGTTTGCAGAAAAGTAATTTGCCTGCAGCCTGGGACATTACACTGAAGACTGACAACGCTGACAACGCTTGGTCTCATCATGAAATGTCCCTGATAACCGTGGAGACTTGTGTAAGTCTAATGTCACGTGAAAATGTGAACAATATTAAAAATATTACGTTTCTCTGCCAAACCATGAATCTCCGTAACAACATGACTGTGTTAAACAGTTTATAACTTGTCACACCTATCTTGAAGTTGTATTATGGGATGGAGGTCTAAACTACCGATCTGTCAGTCGGTCTGCCGGTACATAATCGAGTCTGAACCAGGCAAACCAATGGTTGATTCTATGAACGTCGTCGGGTAAGTCGGGGGCGAACCTGAACTCAATTCAATTCTTTATTGTATGAAAGGCCACAGGCCCATATACAATGGAGTTACATAACATACCTTATAAGATACAAATTCAAGGTAACAATTCATTTCGTAACAAAAACGCATGTTGTATGTACAAAGCCAGTTGATGTTGTGTTAGAAGATCCTTGCAGGACAGTAATGAAGACAATCTTATAGCATTAAAATGAGATAAAGACCCCTGCGGTAAGTACTTGTTTCTTAGATTTTCGTATATAGGGCAAGAAAACGTAAAATGGTATTCATCTTCGACAACAATGTCACAGAATGGGCATTTCTCAATAGATGAAAATCTCCCTGTGTTAATGTTTAGATCATTCGGGCCAAGTCTAAAACGAATAATGATGTTACGAAAATTCCTGTACCGTAAGTTTGATAAACAATATTCTGGTTCAAGCAATTACTTGAATTGGCGATAAGTATCATATCTTGAACTTTCGTAAATATCTGAATGCCATTTCTGATGAAACATATCAATGGCACGCATGCGAAAGTACTTAATGAAAACATTTGCATTACCAATTGTCTGGGACAGCCAAATGAAACCAAAGCCATATGTAAAAAGCAATGTACGTATGCAAGAAGCCCATGTGTTCTTTCCAAGACTATCGAGGTGTATACGTACGAGCATGTTGTAGGCTTTCTGAGGTAAACCGTGTTCAGGCATAATTATTATTTTACACCAATACTTCAAGCAACGAGTGTAAGATCCAATGTACAATGGGAATCTCCCGCTTTCTCCCGATCTAATTCAGCCGCAACAACAAAAAGCAAGGGGTGTTTTCTAACAAGGGCTAATTTGGACCTTTTTGGCCCACGAATCCGTATGCGCTGGGCCAAGGCGTGTTACCCTCTACTTCCCTGTACATGGGCCAAGTCGTCTACTTGATGTGCAGAGTTGCGTCCCTTGGCCACGTCAGAAACCTATGATTGTGGGTTCGAATCCCTGTTTCGCCGAGACTATATTTGTAGATTGGTAAGCCTTATACCCGTGCTCGTGTGTTTCATCAAAGCGATTACGCCTGAGACCTGCATCACTTCGGGATTTCACTCCACATTAAGCTGATACGCCGTGATACTGTTCAAAGCGGCGTTAAACCCAAATGACTCGCTCCCTGTACGTGATTCGGAAACATGTATCAGTAAGTTGCTTATATTTTACGCCGCTTCAAGCAATATTCCCGCTCCATAGCGGCAGGGCACGCCAAGAGAGGGCTTCACATATTGTATCCATGTGGGGAATCGAACCCGGATCATCAGCGTGACGAGAGGACACTTTGACCACTAGACTACGCCTTTGTCTTTTGGGGATTAATTTTGCCTCTGATCAACCACACCCCCAACCACCCCAAACATTATTTTTGTCTTAAAACCACAACGTGTTAAGGGTAAATCACCTCGCATTGTCTGGCTCCCTAGACTAACATTTAGTCTTATGAAATCTTATATTACACAATACCCTTCTCGACAAAACAAAACATTCCCGGTGCTGATTCATGGAATAGAGCAAGCTAGAGCTTCCTAGACTTGCTTTTGCTGCGACCCGTGAAGATCCGGGGTAGAATAGGTCTTCAGCAACCCATGCTTGCCGTAACAGGCAACTATGCTTATCGTAAGAGGCGACTAACGGGATCGGGTGGTCAGGCTCGCTGACTTGGTTGATGCATGTCATCGTATCCCAATAGCGCGGATCGATGCTCATGGCGTCAATCACTGGATTGTCTGATCCACACTCGATTATTTACAGACCGCCGTCATGTAGCTGAAATATTGCTGAGTGCGGCGTTAAACAACAAACCAACCAACTTTAGTCCACTGGTCTGAGTGAGGCGGGTACTGAACGTTGCTGATCGTTTTGCTTCCCTCGCGCGTGCTCAGTCAATGTTTATACAGAGTTGCGCCCCTTACACCTGGCAGACGAGATTTGCTTCCCAAAACGGAGAGACCGGAATAGAAGTTTTTGACCAAGCAGACGATTGCAAAGGTGAGTGTTTCAAAATGTTGTCGTATTGTCATATTTGTCTGTAGAACATAATGTTTATGTTTTAAAAGAACATGATGCCAAAAGTGAATACATTCATAATTATTTACTCGTTTTCAGTGTAATTTCCCAAGTTGCAGGCATACTATTTTTCTGCAAACAAACAAACAAACATCGGGAAGTTCAACATATCGATATGTAGTTCACTGACAAGTTATATTTTATACCAATAATTATGTTTGACAAACTTTGTTATTCAAAAGTATTACTTATCTTTTTTTAAAAATAGGGTAGCCAAGTGGTTGAAGTGTTCGCTCATCACATGCGACTATGCTTGTCCTAAGAGGCGACCAACTTGATCAGGTGGTCAGATTCGGTGACTTGGTTGATGCATGTCATTGTATCCCAATTGCATGGACCGATGCTCATGATGTCAATCATTGGATTGTCCAAGGTGCCGCAATTCACTGTGCAGAGTTGGGTCCCGTGGACATGAAAACAACCTACGATCGTGGGGGTTCAAATCCAGGTTCAAACCCTGGTTCACACACACGCATGCACGCACGCACGCACGCACGTCGCTATGTAAGTGCAATGATCTTGGACGCGATGTTAAACCAAATTTCACCTCACCTCCACCCATTCACCCACACCCTACCCATCCACCCACTCACCCACACCCTACCAATGCATCCACTCACCCACCCCATACCAATACATCCACTCACCCACACTCTGCCCAAACACCCACCCACCCACACCCTACCCATCCACTAACCCACACCCAACCCATCCACCACTCACCCACACCTTACCCATCCACCACTAACCGTCACCTTACCCATCCACCACTAACCCACACCTTACCCATCCACCACTAACCGACACCTTACCCATCCACCACTTACCCACACCTTACCCATCCACCACTAGCCCACACCTTACCCATCCACCACTCACCCACACCTTACCCATCCACCACTAACCCACACCTTACCCATCCACCACTTACCCACACTTTACCCATCCACCACTAACCCACACCTTACCACTCACCCACACCTTACCCATTCACCACTCACCCACACCTTACCCATCCACCACTAACCCACACCCTACCCATCCACTCACCCACACCTTACCACTCACCCACACCTTACCCATCCACCACTAACCCACACCTTACCCATCCACCACTAACCAACACCCTACCCATCCACTAACCCACACCTTACCAATCCACCACTAACCCACACCTTACCCATCCACCACTTACCCACACTTTACCCATCCACCACTAACCCACACCTTACCACTCACCCACACCTTACCCATCCACCACTAACCCACACCTTACCCATCCACCACTAACCCACACCTTACCACTCACCCACACCTTACCCATCCACCACTAGCCCACACCTTACCCATCCACCACTAACCCACACCTTACCCATCCACCACTAACCCACACCTTACCCATCCACCACTAACCCACACCTTACCACTAACCCACACCTTACCCATCCACCACTAACCCACACCTTACCCATCCACCACTAACCCACACCTTACCCATCCACCACTCACCCACACCTTACCACTCACCCACACCTTACCACTCACCCACACCTTACCCATCCACCACTAACCCACACCTTACCCATCCACCACTTACCCACACCTTACCCATCCACCACTAACCCACACCTTACCACTTACCCACACCTTACCCATCCACCACTAACCCACACCTTACCCATCCACCACTTACCCACACCTTACCACTCACCCACACCTTACCCATCCACCACTAACCCACACCTTACCCATCCACCACTAACCCACACCTTACCACTAACCCACACCTTACCCATCCACCACTAACCCACACCTTACCACTAACCCACACCTTACCCATCTGCCACTAACCCACACCTTACCCATCCACCACTAACCCACACCTTACCCATCCACCACTAACCCACACCTTACCACTAACCCACACCTTACCCATCCACCACTAACCCACACCTTACCCATCAACCACTAACCCACACCTTACCACTAACCCACACCTTACCCATCCACCACTAACCCACACCTTACCACTCACCCACACCTTACCCATCTACCACTAACCCACACCTTACCCATCCACCACTTACCCACACCTTACCACTCACCCACACCTTACCACTCACCCACACCTTACCACTCACCCACACCTTACCCATCCACCACTAACCCACACCTTTCCTATCCACCACTAACCCACACCTTACCACTCACCCACACCTTACCACTCACCCACACCTTACCCATCCACCACTTACCCACACCTTACCCATCCACCACTAACCCACACCTTACGACTCACCCACACCTTACCCATCTACCACTAACCCACACCTTACCCATCCACCACTTACCCACACCTTACCACTCACCCACACCTTACCACTCACCCACACCTTACCACTCACCCACACCTTACCCATCCACCACTAACCCACACCTTTCCCATCCACCACTAACCCACACCTTACCACTCACCCACACCTTACCACTCACCCACACCTTACCCATCCACCACTCACCCACACCTTACCCATCCGCCACTTACCCACACCTTTCCCATCCACCTCTAACCCACACCTTACCACTCACCCACACCTTACCACTCACCCACACCTTACAACTCACCCACACCTTACCCATCCACCACTTACCCACACCTTACCACTCACCCACACCTTACCACTCACCCACACCTTACCACTCACCCACACCTTACCCATCCACCACTAACCCACACCTTTCGCATCCACCACTAACCCACACCTTACCACTCACCCACACCTTACCACTCACCCACACCTTACCACTCACCCACACCTTACCCATCCACCACTTACCCACACCTTTCCCATCCACCACTTACCCACACCTTACCACTCACCCACACCTTACCACTCACCCACACCTTACCACTCACCCACACCTTACCCATCCACCACTAACCCACACCTTTCGCATCCACCACTAACCCACACCTTACCACTCACCCACACCTTACCACTCACCCACACCTTACCACTCACCCACACCTTACCCATCCACCACTTACCCACACCTTTCCCATCCACCACTTACCCACACCTTACCACTCACCCACACCTTACCACTCACCCACACCTTACCACTCACCCACACCTTACCCATCCACCACTAACCCACACCTTACCCATCCACTAACCCATACCTTACCCATCCACCACTAACCCACACCTTACCCATCCACCACTAACCCACACCTTACCGATCCACCACTCACCCACACCTTACCCATCCACTAACCCACACCTTACCCATCCACTAACCCACACCTTACCCATCCATCCACCTCTTCACCCACGCTCTACCCATCCACTCACTCACACTCTACCCATCCACCCACCCTCACTCTACCCATCCATCCAACCCTTCACCCACGCTCTACCCATCCACTCACTCACACTCTACCCACCCACTCCCCAACACTCTACCCATCCATCCACTCACCCACACACTACCCATCCACCCACTCACACTCTACCCATCGACCCACTCCCCCACACTTTATCCATCTACCCACCCACATTCTACCCATCCACCCACCCAAACCCTGGATCTGTGAGTAATCAATCTCCAACAATAACCGGAAAAGAACAGACCATGAAAGTATTTGCGTCTTCTGGTTTTCATGGGCTGGTCACATATTCGTAAACAACCATATTTAGAACTGTTGGCCGAACTGAATATAAAAAAAACTACAATGAATCAATTCCACAGAGTATCGTAAAATAGTCTTGCTGCTTCATGAGAAATCAATACAATCAACCAGGACACAATACAAAGAACCGAAATGGACACACGTGAGATTTACAGCCACCGACTTCTTTCTGTCTACGTACCACATCTCACATCATATCCTTTGATTTATACACAGGATAATTACTCAGTATTTACTTGCGTGACTTGTCGTTTCATTAACACATCTTTCAATCATGTGTGTGTCGGCTGAAATAGCGAGCTGACTTGCTATTGTGAGGGGAATGTGTAGAAATCCACTTCATTGAGTCGAATTACGTGCAGGACATTACGAAACAATGTCGTACCGAATCAGGCCATTAATAAAGACATAATCAGAGAGATTATTTCACTTTCACCCACGTAAGTCATGAGTATACAGACAGTTATTACAGGAAGATTTGCGAGGCAGGATCTGTTTTATGTTGGATAGAATCCAGTGTTTGTGTCTTGTGTCTGTGCTGATTCATGTTAAATGGGTTTGTTTCATACCAAGCTTAAGGTATTTATTGGATAGGTTGATTTTTTATGCCAACTTTGTTTTATTTGACATTTCTGCCATGCCTATATATTTTCTTGTTTTAGGAAATAGTTATTCCTAAATGTTTTGAAATTTGCAAAGATGTTTTTATACAAGTATATGTATATATTATTGTTAAATTTTATGAAGAGTTTCTTGAGGGAATAACATCAAATAAACACTGGCAACATTTAAATGGTTTTTGTTTTTGCCTCCAGCTTCTTCGCATTTGGGACAAGAAATATGTGATATATAGAGAATCTCACCCAAGTGTCTTTTGAGTCGATGAAAGTGGAAAAACTTTTATAAAACGAGTGTTAATATGTTTGATATCAGTAGACATGAGGGTAAGATTTTCTTTATCATTCAACAGCATTCTTCCAACTTTTCCAGTTTGTAGATAGTAATAAGCAGTGTAAAAAGTACTGCTAACAGCTTCAGTAGCAAAGTCATTAGTGATGTCATTTGATTGCGACGCCATGGTAACCTATGACGTCACAATGGTCTGAAAAGCATTATGATGCAATTACATTGCAGTGATATCTACATATGTTGCTTGATCTCACCCAAGCATATCTCCTGTGGGAGCCAGTTTTGGATGATAAAAGATGTTGTTATGGTCATGTTTAAT